ATCATTGATCTAGCAGCAATATCTGTTTCTTTACTCTCTCCATTAGTCACTATCGGCAAGTATTTTTTTTTATTTCATATATCTTTTATTCTCTATCGTCAATTATTCATCTTTATATCTTCTATAGTGGTTTTACTATTTATAACTGGAATGCCAGTAAGCGAACGTCCAGTTCACATAAAACAATTCAAAGCTGAGAATTGGCCTAAATATTCTCAGTATCTATCTCGTACAAGTTGTTTAATTCCATTTCCACCACTATTATATGAACCGTTTCCACAAATTATAAAGAGTACTTTGTTCTTGGAATTTCCCATATATCGATTTGACCCAGAATCGGAAGGTGATCTGGTCAAAAAAGATAAAAATGTGGGAGATAAGGATAAAAATGTGGGAGATAAGAATAAAAATGTGGGGGATAAGAACGTTTAAGTTTATATATTTTTATGCCAAGTTTATTGATATTTTCACACCCATTTTTGTATTTTTATCACTCTTGTAAAAAATTAATATATGTTACGTATTATTTTATCCAATGAATAGTATTATTCAAATATTGAACATGTAGTTTATTGTTGCCAAATCATTCATTGAATATTTAATAAATAAATCAATAATATATATATATATATATATATTCCACGGCCCCTAATGTTCGCCCGTGAACATTTCTGATAATATTTTTATGAGGACGTAATGCCGTGAAAATATAATGGGAACTGATATTTTCACACCTTTTTTGATATTTCCACACCCATGTAGATCACTTATTTTTAAAACTTTGATCAAAGGTATCTCGGCAACCACCTGATGAAATTCGATGAACTTTTTTTATTTGAATTCTATGGATTCATAGAATTCGAATAAAAAAATCATCGAATTTTTTTGGGTGGTTGTCGAGATACCTTTGATCAAATCATGCACAAATTTGTCGCGGCTTACATTTTGATAAACGTTTTAAAATTTTCTAAAACTTTCATCGAAGATATCTCGACAACTAACCGATGAAAATTTGATGAACTTGTTTTCTTTGAATTCTGTAAATCCATAGAAGTCAGATAAAAAAAATTTCATCGAATTTCATTTGGCAGTTGTTGAGATATCTTCGATGAAAATTTTAGAAAAATTTGATCTACAAGGGTGTGGAAATATCAAAAAAGTGTGAAAATATCAGCTCCAAATATAATATCTATTACATATAACGTTTGGTTAATAGATATTCCACGGGCTGCTGTGAATATCATGGATTAGCACGGCGAAGCCGTGGTAATACATGATGTCACGGCA